CTTGTGGCCGAGTTGACTGTGGCCGAGTTGACTTGTGGCCGAGTTGGATCGAATTCAACAGCTCTCAGAAATAGAATTCATGTTGACGATGCTATTTCGGAATATACAAGAGATTTACGACAAATACAGATGGATGTACGTAACACAACAATGAATACATAATAGCACTTGTATGCATGTAAAATCACTACAAATTAATAAATAAATAATACTTCTGTACATACAAATAAATATTCACAAACACCCCTGTTACATATCCAAATAAAAATTTCACTTTCTTTAAAACAATTACTATCTAATATGGCCACAATCTACAATACATATTTTATATTATCATCTTAGGTTTTAATGCGTGTAAAATAAATTTATATGAATATCTGTATTATGTAGGACTTTGTTTACACTTTGGTCTCTCTGAAAAGAAAAAAGAAATATAATGTTAAGGTCATCTAATATTTGCAACAATATTTTTAAAAAACCAAATTCATTATTCAATAGTTATAAATCCTCTTCCATACCCTTCCCTTCCATGTAAGTCTCTTACTAGTGTCTTACTTGTCACGTCTTCAGCCCCTCCCCGTGTTTCTGGCATAGCTCTGTTCACACTGGTGTATGTGACAAATTTGTGTGGATATGCCCATATTTGGGTATGATGACATATACTCACATGATAGCGAGAATTCGTACAAACCTGAATCCACTAGTAATCGGGCATGCGTACTTCGACTTTAAACTCATATGCTATGCAGAAAAAAGAAAAAAGCTTTATAGAAATATTCATTATATTTGTAAGAGTATTTAAAATTAGAGTGATTAATTGTGGTTAATCTTCTATTTGTTGATGAATGGTACTGTATAATACACGAACTACAAGAAGAGAGCTTGTTTATACTTTTTTTATCTTTATAACATTATAAAGATAGAATATATAAAGTAAAATTTTTAAAATATAAATAGTAAAAATAAACCCTCTTGTACTGTAGTTTGCGTATTATACATTAACATTTGACATACTCAACTTTGACACTGACATGCACAGTTGGAACTAAAAACGGCCTTATTTGTTCAGTGGCGTAACGCTGGGGCGTGGGCCTTGTGTATTTCTGAAACTGGGGGACCTTTTTGGATCCCGGTCACCAATTCCATCGTGGGATTTTTAGGTGTGTTGTTATTCTAAATTTGTTTAATGACGATTAAATGATATAAAGTAATATATGTATCCAGAAAATTGAGGCCAGGGAGGGAGTTTCACAGTTGGAGAGTCTATACCACCTCAGACCCACCATGGTTGGGGCTGAACTGAGATAAGAAAATGTATTACTATGGCACGCCTAGATGGCCGGAAATGGCACTCCCAGACTTCAAATTGTGAATATAATTTTCTTTTTATCTCCATTTAAAATTTTTTTTTTTTTTTACAAATTTGGTGGGGTCCCAGGCCGAGAGGGGGGCCCCCGTCGGGCCCCTTCTCTTATCAATAGATAAACTATCTAATTCATTAGATTTTTTTATACAGTATTTGTAAATTAGGTTTGAAATTAGAGTGAAATAACTGTAGTTACATTAAATCTACTTAACTTGTTGATAAATGGTACTGAAGTATATTATAAGGATAGCAAATATAAAGTATAATTTTTTAAATATAGTACTAAAAATAAGGTTTTGTGTTCTTTGAATTGTGCATAACTATGTTTCATGTCACCGGTTACATAAACAAACAATTGCTTACATACAGTACAACAATCTTTATTGATAAAATTTTCAATAAATGTTTATTATAAATACATCCATTATATTATTTGTTTTTGTAGTATATATTAACCTTTTACATACTCAACTTTGACATTTTCATGCACAGTTAAAACTAAATAAGTGCTCATTGTTGTTTTTTTTTATATACATTATATTATTTTGTAATTAAATTGACTAGTCTTGTTAGCTGCATGACTATTATTATTACAAACTTTAACTCACATAAGTAAGCTTTGGGTCTTCTTTTTCAAATTTAAATTCATTATTATCTCCACCTTCCAAATCACAAATCAGTTCTAAAATAGTTTTTCTGAAAGACAGCATTACAAATATGAAAAATGCTAATTTTGATATAATATAGAAAATAAGGTATAATCATTATCATTGTGTTTGTATTGATAGCCACTCTCTAAATACCATTTACATTTACATTTTTATTCCGCCCTAAAATAAGCGACCTGTATTTCTTCTTTATATGAACAGCATTTATCAATCCAATTAAATCGTAACATCACAATCTTTACGATCATGGAAAGAGCAGGCTTTATTGATTTTTTTACCTTGCAACACTCCAATTTGTTTATCCATCAATAATATCTTTTTTTCTGCTTGCATGCTTTTGCGAACACCAGTTAGCTAAAGAAAAATTTTATTTTAATGTTTCTCCGACTTCCTCTTACAGTACTTACAATATTAAAAAAAATAAGTTTACCAAACAAGGTTTCAACAAAATCTTGCCCTATGAGCTTTAGGCAAATTTTTAAGGCAATAATGGCTCCTATAGTTATAGTATTTTCCAACAAGTGCCTTAAAGAACTTGACAAATAACTGTTTGAATAATATAGTTTACTGTATTTCAAAATGTTGTCTTCTTCTCCCTCATAGTTGTGTCACTATCATTACAAATACTACCGTACTAAACTGTATTTCAATTTTACTGTAGATATAATGATAGTCTCACCTGACTTCTGTTGTTTTTGCTTCCTTAAATTTAATGCAAGTTGCTTTTTCTTTAGAGCTGCTTGTGCATTCACTCCAAGAATCAACCTCTTGTGTAGCAAGCAGGTAGTTGGAGACAGTATCAGCGTTGCTCACTGACTGACATGCCTAGTTTAAAAAATTGAATCCAAAATTTTAATGGGAGAGTCTGACAAAATGAAGGAGGTTTTGCTCATTTTTTTTTAATTGAAAAAACACAAACATTGCACATTATATCATACACATTATTTACCATTCAGATACTACAATGAACAATTTTGTTTTATTGAAGATGATAAGGTTCTGAATAAAAACACTTACTGCAGCATCTTTACAGACTCTATCGATGGTGAAGTTGTAACGAGGATTGTACGTATATATTGTTGAACTATCTTCCTTGAAACTAAACCTGCATGCATACAATAAAGTGAAACTGACAGTTTAACAATAATAGTTTGATATTGATAAAAAGAGATGAATTATACTGTAATAAAAATTATGTCCTGAACTGAATAATTGTTTAATAAATGCAATTTATTATTTAATTTATACATTGCGCCAGGGAGTTGTTATTTGGTTGCACCATAGATGCACGCAAATATTCCAATTAAAAATAATTTAAAAATGTGTGTGCAAAATATTAGTTTATTATTGTTGAAGAGTCCTACAATATTTATGGACACTGTCTACTCATAGAGAAGCTTGTTCTATTTTCTAATACAGTAATATGGTACTGATACGCAAAGGGCCTAAGATTTTACGCACTCCGGGCCCCATTACTTCAATACCCCCACTGCCAATTGAAAGTCATAGTGCACGCAAATATTCCAATTAAAAATAATTTAATTCGTTGCACCAGGGAGTTGTTATTTGGTTGCACCATAGATGCACGCAAATATTCCAATTAAAAATAATTTTAAAATGTGTGTGCAAAATATTAGTTGATTATTGTTGAATAGTCATACAATATTTATGGACATTGTCTACTCATAGAGAAGCTTGTTCTATTTTCTAATACAGTAATATGGTACTGATACGCAACTGGCCTAAAAATAAGATTTTACGCACTCCGGGCCCCATTACTTCAATACCCGTTACGCCACTGCCAATTGAATCAATAAGGAAATACAGTACATAGTCAAATAGTAAAGATGTATAACTTATTGACATGCCATACTGTAGGCTGTCTTTTTTCTTAGGCTGTTTCCCGGCTTACCCTGGTTTGTCTTTCAGTCCTAGCGAAGTGAGGTCAATTTTCGATCCATTTTGAAACGTACACAAATAGGATGTAGGAGGGTTCTCATTACACAATTTACAATCAAAGCATGGAAGCAAAACAATAAGCGTTAGAATTCCCAAGAAACTTGGTGGTAGCAACATAATGCAGTGTAATATTTGTATTTACAATGGGTGTATGCTGTATGCTGTACTAAAATCCAATAAAGGAAACGGTACGAATCACGTGCCGTTTATCATGTGATATATTTTCCAGTGTTTATATCTAGCCTCCTTTTAGCCGTTTTGAAGAATTGCGACAGGGGTGTCCGACAAGACTAGGCTAGTATGGAACGCCGTTACTGCTTTTTGTGGCTCTTTTTTTGATCGGCGAATTTACCATTCTACCATCGACCCTTTTATCATTATCCGTTCGGCTCCTGAAGAGCAATTCTAAATCGTCTGGCAGTAATGCTTTATACATAAATTTCAAACGGTAAAGAAGAGGAACCTATATATAGTAATAAAACGCATAAAACAAAAGTGTAGAGTAGCCGTAACTTTTAATGGTAAAAAACACAAACGTTTTCGGGCATCGCCCTTCATCCT